GGAAAGGGGATGCTCATGGCAGGAAGGTTTATGGGCGCCACTGTTTGTGGCGCATTCAAGCTGGGGATCCCATCCACCAGAAGGGGGATGGTGAACTGTCCGATGCACACCACGGGGACTTGAAGTTGTTCCCCGGTGGTGTTCACCTCCGTGCCACGTCCGGCATTGCTGGAAGAAGCCATGAGTGTTGGGGTTTTTGGAGGAAAGGGGTTATGAGAGTTTTAGAGGGAGACTTTTAGAAGCGTTTCCCACAGACGACACCAATTGATGGTGCGCAATCCGGTCAGTCCTAGCTGTCAACGACCTTGCCTCTGACTGGAGCGACAGGGGGGCCTGAAACGGAGAAGAAAGTGGGGAATCTCCGGGGAGGAACCCGGCGAGATCACTCCGAAGCTCAAGTTAGTATTCTCTCAAAGGCAAGATAAAACCAGATGGCGCAAAGTTCACATACCTTGTCCTCGGGGGGTAGAGAGCCTTTTATAACCACTTCGCGCACTCACTCTGAGGCTTCTGTCAGGTCGGGTATGATTACTTCTGTGCTTCTGCCAGTTTGGGTGTCATCACCTCTGCTGGGACAGAACCGCCGCTGCTCCTTGTCGGAGCCGTCTCTGTAACTGGAGATGGCGGTGGCAGGTGGCAGGTGGCCGTTGGAATGCGGCTGTCAAGCGTCAGATCCCAAGTCAGTCAGGTGCGCTGCCCCTGGAGGCGAAGTCTTGAGTTCGGACAGAGGTGTGGTCCGAACTGCCATGGGGCAGGCCAGTTCGGGTTGTTGCCCTTTGTGTTCATAAGGCTTGGGGCCTAAGGGAGAGCTCGGGCTCCGTACTGGGAGTTCGGACCGCTGGTTCCTCCTTTTGGAGCTCGCGCCTTGGTGAGCTGTTGTGCCGAGCTGTTGCCTTTGCCACATGTTGAGTGGTTACGAGGTCGGGCCAAATCTTCCTTCATCAGATTTCGTTAACCTATCTATTGACTTTGCCTGTCTTATTTATATTTGAAGCAATTGCAACTGTTTCTTAAACTAATTTCTTCTTATATTCACCTTTTTTTATCATCAACTGCAAAATTTTATTATATCAGAATGATATTATAGTTACAAGTTTGCTTGCATCCCACTAAATTGGCTGGATCACACCAAGCCCTGAATCCCTCATATGTCATTCTTACAATGGTGCCCAAATCAATTGTTTCCTAGAAACCCCTTGTTTGGCTAAGGTATTAGACAACCCAATAGCTGATTGATTAACCCATCTGAAAGTAACCTCTATTTCTCTTGCAATGCATCTGTTTTTCCTCAAGGCTTGCCTGCCCATCCAACATCAATGCTATTTTTGTTCATCCAGTTTACCACCAATTGGGTCTTCCCACCAAGTTTCTGCTGCCCAATTGCTTTTATCTTTGTTAATCTTAGCTCCTGTAGAAATTTCTGCACTTAAAGATTCAGCATAGCCAATTGGCTCAGAAAAGTGAGCCAATATAGGCCCTTTCTGTTTATATTCACCTTCAACTTTAACAAAAAAATAAACAAGATAGTATATGGGCGTTGTGGAAAAGAGTGGTGGGGAGGGGTTGAGATGACACTATTAGAGAAGCAAGATTTGGAGATGCACTGAAACAGAAAATGTAGAAGAGATCTTCTAGTTATTTGCAATGGTAAATTTTGTACCAGAGAATTGTTATCCTTGGTTACTCCAGTGAGACATAGATTGGTGAAGATTAAAATATATCACTGAATATGGAAGCAATGAATGATGAGAGATAACGCTATAACCTCCATTTGTCAGACTAAACAATTGAAATAGAGTAACAAAATAGTTTTCCCACAAGCTTAGGGAACCATATTATGTTGCCTCTTCTTTTCAGGAGATGATTGTTAACCTATGCGATCAGCCTATTCTTTTGATGCACGTATATTTTTTCTTTCCTCTGTTATTCTAGAAGGTATCTGTTACAATTTTTTTTTTTTTGTAAGTTAATTGTTGCCTGAGTACTGATTTGAATATTGCTTGTTTACCAGGATGGAAATGGAAGCAGACTACATTGGGTTACTATTGGTTGCTTCAGCTGGATATGACCCACGAGTGGCACCTAAAGTGTATGAGAAACTGGGAAAGGTCACAGGTGAATCATCTTTGAGAGATTATCTTTCCACTCACCCATCTGGAAGAAAAAGAGCGCAATTGCTGACCCAAGCCAAAGTGATGGAAGAGGCAATGTCTATTTACAGGGAAGTTAGAGCAGGACGTGGTGTTGAAGGTTTCCTATGAAATTCTGTATTCATCCGGGTGATGTAAAAGTAACATGTCCAATCAACTTGCTCAAAATAAAAGCCATGAAAGTGGTAATCTTCACATGGAGGGAGCAGGCTCTGGATCAAAAAGTTTTCTGTGGGAGTCAAATTGTGTTTATCAGTTTATGATCAACCAGTATAGATCGCGTGCTACTTTCAGTTTTTCTTCCTCATGCAAGATGTGTATTTACGTGGTTTTTTATTATCAAGTGTAATCATCGATTGCGACCTGTGAATTCTTTTTAGTCTGTTCTCCATATTTTCTGAATTCTGATAAAGCCTCCAACCAATTTCTCTTCTATTTTTAGGAAAAAGACAGATGATAGATCATGGATGTTTGTTTCCGGCCACACTGGATTAAGTTTAAACTTTATAGTTGTCCAGAGTTCCTGTCGGTCCTCAATCTTATTTGCCCTTCAGATAGCTCCGGTGATCCAAACAATGAGCAGCATAAGTCAAAGAAATTCCAAAGAAAAATGAAACAAGAAGTTTTGTCTGGATGTAGGATTTGATATTTGACTTAATGACTTGATTCATGCAAGGTTCAAAATATCGATCGGTATTGTATTTTTTGGGTTTTTTTTAATCTTTTTTAATCTGATTCAAATGGACCAGTTTAAGGCCAGTCTACCCCTTGAACTACTTGCACCCCTATAAAGTTGTATCGGAAAGGCCCCAATACGATATATGTATCGGCCGATTCAAGGTCAAGGTGACCGAGGAATCATCTCTTTCGGATTTCCTTCCTTTTAACTTTTTTGATAAAAAATTCAAAATGGAACCAAGCTAATTTCCACGCGACTTGACTTTCTTAACGTGGAATATAATGGATGGAATTTGAGGATGCTTGAGTTTTGACGGACATAGACAGCTTAGAATTGCATTTTATTACCCAAAAGATACAAAAAATGTAATATCGCGAGGCAATTGCAGTACATACAGCATTTACATAATGCAACTGAATTAGAACCCTCCTTTCCATTTTCTTCTTTTTTTTTTAAGAAAAAACCCCCTTTGAAAACAAGTTGAACTTCCACAGCAACGAACAATTGTAGTTGAACTTGCTCAACTTGCATCCTTCTCGGGTCGATTAGGATCTCATCTAATGAGTAATAATGTGTTATTGTATATCCATCAACAGGTTGCAATTTCGGATTTTCATGTTAATCTAAGTTTCTACGTAATCTTCAGCATTTAATTAGAGCCAAACTCCTTGTTCCACCGTTCAAGTTCCTCCCACTTGCTTTTCTGTAGGCTAGGTTTGATGACAGTCATTGCTTTCTTGAAATCCCCATATTTCAATGAGCGCACCTTGTAAAATGTCAGAAAACATATTAGCAAATACTATAAAATAAACACAGTACGCACGAATAACCTAACACCTAATATTTATATATATATAGGAAAACGTAAATGAATTAAAACCATATAGGCATTGGAATTGCAAGCAAAGGTTCCTTGAAAGGTTGAAAATGAATTTCTCCCTGGAAAAAGCCATGCTAGTGAGTACTCTAGTAAAAAGGCAGCCCGGTGCATGAAGCTCTCGCTAATGCAGGGTCTGGGGAGGGACTGATGTACACAGCCTTACCCCTGCACATACAGTGAGGCTGTTTCCAAGATTTGAACCCTGGTCACCTAGGTCGCAATGGAGCAATCCAACTGTTGCACCAAGGCCCACCCTCGCTAGTGAGTACTCACTCTAGTATCAACCTTAAAAAAGAATAAGAATTTTATTATTGAGTTAAATCCTAAAACATGTAGCAGAATTTAGAATGACAGAAGGCTGATATGTAAGCAAATACCTTAAAATACAGTCACAAACAAGAACTAATTGCATGAGAATGGGGGAAATACACTAGTTGGAGAAACTTAAGGTTATCTGGTGCAGGTGAAGAGAGGGTGAGAAAGTAAAGAGATGACAGACAATCAACGCAACGAGTTCTCAAACTCAAGTTACAATTCTCTAGAAAACTACTTTGCTAACTACCCACCCACCTCACAAGCTTACACCATAATTACCTCCTCATCAAACTCAAGCCTTGAAAATTGCAACGGCTTAAGAAATTACTAGTCCTTGAATTCTCTTGCACCACTTCATTTACTTGAAAGACAATAAACCCCATTACATTAATTAAAATGATCCAACTCCAGTGTATTGCTGTGAAGAATTTCATAGATTTAAATACAACCAATGATCATCATGATGGAGGTACTGAGTAAATATGAGAAATGTACCCAGGGAGGGGGTATGTGTGAGACACATGCTGGTGTATAACACAAATACAGAGAACAAAAACTGAAACATAGCAAAATGCATAACTATAAATATGGTACTATGTTTTATCATGTTCTGCAAACAGATGAACATATTCCAAACAGATGAATGTTGCAAAGAAGCCTTGTCCAAATAAAGTTATTTGCATCAACTATCTTGATTACAAACTGGTCATTTGATCTGGCATGCACCTGACTACTAAAAATAAGCAGAAACCACCTCAGCCACCACCTGTGTTGGTTATTTATTAAAACTAATAATCAAATTGCAATATAAGCTATGCTTGAGTAACCACGTCAACTCAACACATGAAAACTTAATCCCTGTCTTTATGGGGTTAGCCATACAAATTCTGTTTCACCATCCTACTATATTGAAGGCCATACACCCAAACAAATCTTGAGCCCCTAGAATTGTTTCTTAGTACCTCAACCTTGTGCTTTTGGTTTTCTTCTAGCTCCACTAGAACCATCAATTTGCAGTCTTGCATTGGTACAGTAGGTGGCCTTCCATATACATGCCTAGATCATCTTGTTTTATCATCTATTGCAGCTAGTCCTAAAAGGGCAGCCCAGTGCACAAGGCTTCAGCCAATTGGGGGTCTGGGAAGGGACAGATGTACACAGCCTTACTCCTGCAGATACACAGAGAGGCTGTTTCCAAGATTTGAACCTTGGTCATCCAGGTCCCAATGGAGCAACCTCACCCATCCATCTCACTATCCTCATCTCTTCTACTCATTTTATTAATGTATTGGACACTCTGCTCCATACAAAATCTCTAGTCTCATAGGCGATTAGGCATCCTATTAAATTGACCTTTTACTCAAGCATTTCCCACACACACAACACTCTAGATGCACCTATCCACTTACATAATCATATTATTACTCAGTACACCAAACTCAAACAAACCTTCCTTTTTTATCTTTCCTTGTCAAAACCCCTTCGTTTTTTGAAAACAGAAATCATTTTTTTTTTCTTGATAACAGAAACCCCTCGTATTTTATCCTCCTTTTCTTTTCCTTCCTGTATTGGTTAACTGTTTAGCAGATATTGGAACTATACAATTACTTTTTTCTTTTTTTTTTTGTAATCATTTGGTTGGTTAATTCTTTGAAATGATCTCCGCTTTAGAATCTGGTCAATTAATGAAGGCAACAACAGTCAATGGTATTAACATCTCAGCTAAGAGTTGCATTGTAACTTGACATTGAAATATAGAAGAATTTTCTTAATGTAATCCCAATACCTTACACTAGAGTCTACACACATGGAGTAAGAATGATCAGGAGTGAAAGATGCAAGAACTTTTCCATGTTTGAACCACCAAATTTGTTTGCATCTTCAAAAACCACAGATGAATAAGTCAAGAACATTGTGGAATGTAGGTTTTGTCAAATAATTTCATATCTTTGTGATCTGAGAATATAATGACTATCCATAATAAAGATATGGGTTTATATGAATACTGCAATCACTCAGTATAATTACTAACTCCATTTAAATAATTTGGTGGTGATTGGGGGGGAGGGAGGGACTAGAAAGAATGCTCAATATGGACAATGCCATCATTATTCATGACTAATAAGGCTTCAGGCACGTTCAATGTTTTGAACTGTTTTGCTATAGTCCAGGGACTTCTGGTATTGGAGGTGTGCTTAGAGGTAAGGATGGCAATGTTTTAGCTTTATATTCAGGCCCTATTGGTTTGGGGACTCCATTAGGGCAGAGTTGATGCCAGTTTTGCAAAGATTGAGACTGGGGAAATCCCTACATTACAACAATCTATTAGGAAGGGGACCCCAAGCTAGTAGTGGGGTCCCGATGTAATGCCCAGTTTGAAGACGTTCCTTGTTACAACCATTTTGCAATGCCCAGTTTGACCAATGTAGGAAAAGGAAGACTTGATCTATGCTCTTTGATTCTAGATATATATAGAGAAGCTATGATTCTTCCCATGATTCCAATAGAATATTTTATTTCCTTTAAAATCAACACAGGGATGACCATTGATTGGGCTTCCAGGTGGGGGGAGAAAGAGAGAAGGGGAGGTTTGGGTCGAGTAAGGAAGCCCCATGGATGATCCTAATTCTGCCAGGTGCTGTTTTGCCCAATTTTCCCCCACGAATTAAGGGTGCAGAGAAGAATAGAAATCCCTTTCAGCATGGAAGGTAAATTACCATGTGGAAGATTCTTGGGATTTCTAGACTTCCTCACCAAACAACCTAGCTTAACAATTATTGGGAAAAAAAAACCCTAGCTAGCTTATCTGTTCTACTCACCCCCCCCCCCCAAAAAAAAAAAAAAAAGTCCCCTTAGAATTGACCTTCATCACCATCCATTCTTCCTGCTTGCCTTTTTAGGCTTTTACTAACCAGAATAGTTAACTGCAGTTCCAAGTCCTACCTGATTTGGCTTGACAGTGAGAATGTTTGGACCAAGTTCCCTGATGGGCATCATTGCAGCTTCTTCACACAAGGCTTGTAGGTCACTTCCAGAATATCCTGTGCATTTAAAAGGCCATTAATAGGGTCCTGAATTTGAGAAGATGTAGATATTTAAAAAACATTTAACTGAGAAAGCATGTTACCTTCTGTCTCTTTCACAAGTCTCTCCAAATCTCCACCTGTTAAAAAAATAGAAATAAAAACCATTATGGTCAGAGATTCTACTAGAGTATTTACTGTTTCCACTTCCACAGCATGAAATAATTATTAGTGTCATCTACAAAAGATAAAAATACAGGGTTTTTCTTCAGTAGAAGGCTAGATATAGGGTTTCTCCATGATCGTTCTTGTTGATGTAACTCTAAAATCTGTATTGGACATACTGAATTATAGAATAAGACAATTATACAGTTACTTATAAAAAAAAGGGCAAATTAATACAGTCTGATACCAAATAATTCCACCTTCCTGACATCATTACTTCAGATTATTTTCTCAACTCTTGATGCCGTTTCATCAAAAAAAAAAAAAAACTCTGATACCAAATAATTCCACCTTCCTAACATACCACTACTTCAGATTATTTTCTCAACTCTTGATGCTGTTTTATCCAGAAAAATCTAATATGGTATATCCTAGCACATCTTACTGCACCTGTTAGAAAAAGTGATCTGTTACATTTGAAGGGGTTAGAAGAAATGATTTGAGCATCCATAATTTAACAATGGATATGACACTGAACAGAATGGACTAGTGAAAATTTTGAAACAGGAACGTAGCCGACCCGGTTGAGACAAGGCTTAGATGATGATGATGATGATGATCCTAGCACACCTTATTAACACCTTGTGAAAGCTCCACTATCTTGACATGATAAATTGGGTATTTTATATCCTCTCCCCCCCCCCCACTTTGCAAAAATTTCCCCTTGGATTCCTCCAAGGACCATGCATCAGAGGAATTGGGATCTGCTCCTCACACCGACCTCACAGACACATCTGGCCCTGTATTGGGAACATCTCCCATGAATAATAACATACAAGGGAGGTGTTCCCGATGTGTGGCTGGTACATGCTGTGAGGAGCGCTCTGTGAAGAGCAGATCCGGACTCAGCATCAGAGATGATTCATCAAATGTAGAACAGAAAATATGAATTTATGGCTATATCCCTGTGTACCAACTTTACTAACCAAGTGACAAAATCATCAAAGCAATTTGAATAAGAATGGGCTAAATCCTTTTATATCAGATTCAGAGAATTTCCTTTTATTCCATGAAAAAGGCTATTGGATAGAGGACGAAATGGAACATGTTCATCATAATCTTCAATCACGAGAGACTGTATATCTCACCATGTACTGCACTTTTTTCCCTCATAAACAATAATACCCTTTGATTTTTTTCCCTTTTTGGTTCTAAAAAGGGCCATCACCCACTGTTGGCCTTGACTATCCAGGGTCTTGAGAGGTGTGAACTAGATATGGACCTAACCTTAAGCATTTTTTTTTTTGCACAAAGTGGCTATTCTCAGACTTAAACCACATTCTCATGCTTGCCAGCCTGAGGTTTTATGTTTTATCATCACCAAGCAATGGCTCCATTTTTATCTAAAATCAGGTGAGTAAATTGGGTAAAAGCCACATGTAAAGACCTTAAGTAATATATCCATCTTGATTGCCACCATATAAGCAGTCTGGCAGAGTAACACAGAAAGGGGCTTTAAAATATATATAAATGTGTCTGCCAAGCTGCTTTTCCTACAAAGCAAATAACTCAAACTACTCCAACAGATACCAGGATTTCCTCCCTTTCTAAGAGAAGTAAACCAGTAATCCTGCAATTCTCAGGTAGATGGCTGGTAAAATTGCTTGAAAGAATCTATCATTCATTTTACCAATAAAAAATCTATAACTCATTTCATCTTTGTTGTTACTCATGACAAAGTGGTCCAATTCAATCGACCCAAGCAAATGTAAATTCATCAATTTTATTCTCAACCAACAATGTTGGAATTTTACAGTTGCAGCTACTAAACGAAATCACAGAACCTGAGTTCCGTGAAGAACTACTTGACCTAAGAAAGGAATCATGTATTTGTAACAAAGAAATGAACGAGAATTAGAACTTTTTGTAACTAATTAATCAGTTCTATAAGATAGAACCAGAACTTTTTGAACCAAATATTAATCAGGATAATTGGGTCTGAACCAATTATACTTGACATCTATAATTACCTATAATAATGACAACTCAGAACTTCATTTTTAGTAATATAAACTAAATAAAAATAACATTACAATAATAAACTGTTTATATGTTGAAAAAAAGTGTTTTTTTTTTATAGTTGAAGAATTAATTTCATCAATCAAGCAAACATAATAGAACTTTACAAGCTTCCCTTGGAGAGGCACAAGGTGCAGCCTCTCCTAATCAATACAAAGGATCATAAAAACAGATTATATAGCTGCCCAAAATAACCCATCCCTGGAGGACCCTTGTTTAGCAAGAGAGTCATCCAAAGTATTTGCCGACCTGACCACCCATTGAATTCTAAGAGTTATATGTCTTGTCAAGTATTTAACTTTTTTTATGAGGTCCCTATAATTTAAAAAAAAAAGTGTTTTTAACCAAAGTTATCTTATATACTTTATATGAATATAACAAAAATTACATGAAATCCAACTAATCTTTGTATATTATTAACTATATAATTGGTTTGGGTCTTAATTGGCTCAGAACAATATTTTAAAATGTGGAGGCGTGACACGAGGCGTTTCACTACCTAGAGGCATGAGGTGTAGTTCAAAACGTAAGAGGCGTAAGCCTCCCGAACAAGGAGGTGTAAGCCTCCTTAAGAGGAGGGGGATGAGGAGGAAGGAGGAGGAAGAAGAGGAAGGGGGATCTCATTTAAGATCATTTTTAATAAAATTCTTTTATATTAAGAATAATGAAGATGCATAGCACTAGTTGAAAGGGAGGGCCTTGTCAAAGGGGGCCCGGGAGCTTTGCCCCCGCCCACTTTCCTTCCCCTTATCTTTTCTTCCCTTCCCTTTTCTTTTTTCTTTTTCTCTTTTTTCTTTCTCTTTCTCTTTCTTTCCCTTCCCTTTCTTTTCTTTTCCTTTCCTTTCTTTTTTTTTTTTCTATCTTTTTATATGAAATGTGCATGAGGCGTATGCCTCAGAGGTATCAGCGCCTGTTGGGTAGACCCAACCCATTGACAGTTCTAACAAGAATAATAGGCAAGCCCAATTCGATCAGAAAAGACAAACCAATGAGCGGCAGCAACCATTTTTTTCTATTCTGTTTTAGGATTTCTTTTTTATAACCAATGTTCAGAGAACTAGACTGGATATAGAACTAGAAAGGGGAGAGGTTCACATGTCAGAGGTTCAACTGCGGTCAAACCAGAAGATCGAATCATGATGACATGGCATATACATATATATACCACAAGACACATAAATACCATAAATAATATATTATACAAATAAAGTTATACTTGAATTTGGCGGATAGATGGCCAGTTCTTTAATTTTTAAAGTAATTGACCAAGGATCAAAAGGTCATGGGCTTGAATCTTGCCATTTGCATTTTGAAAGTTCCACACATTTGAGACCTGGGCAGTTTTAGGAAACCAGGACCGTTCCACCAGTTTTCTGGTTAAATTGGCCGGCTAGCTGGTTTTGAGCAGTTTTCTAATTTCTACCTATTCAGGTTTGTAGTGTATGATCAAACCAGATATAGGCCCATTCACGATTCAATTGGTCTGATTGACCGGTCCAGTCCAGTTTCCTAAACGCAATTTAAAAGACCAATGAGAGGATGAACTCAACAAAGGAAGCCATAAAGGATAAAGATAAAATTTGCTTAAGACTCCACAGCTATTAGAGCTTCTTGTAGATTGATTGCCCTCAACCTTTGTCAATTATTGTGTTGAAGAGAAAAGAAAGGGGACAAAAGGTGGACTGAGAAAGATAGAGAGACTAGTTGATAGAAAGGGGGATAAATGACAGATGGTGGATTAGCATGCACCATATACTAGGGGGGGGGGCATTTTTTGTCTTGCAAAAAAATGGTCAAGGATAGTAAAGTGAGTCGGGACAAATTTTGACATTTAGGAATTATTAATGGGTCATGTATGCCACTTTGTCTTGGAATTATATAGGGACTAGATGCAAGGGAGGTATACAACACATTAAACATTTTGTCAAAGTCCCTGGAGCTATTGAAAAATCAATGGTAGTTTTAGGTATTTCAGTAAAGTGGGGGAAGTTGAAGGTGCCAGCTAGCTTGCTGGTAAGGTCTCTTGCTTCGTTGTTGCAAAGACTGCGTGAACATTGTAGAAGAAGAACTTAAGTTAGATACCCACATGCATACAAAGAGACGAACCAACTGGCAAGGAGTATAAATGTATATGATATGCCTTTAGGCGTCATCTATTCTTATAAGCGGGCGAGTTTTAGAAAACACCCAACAAACAAATCCCTAAAGTTAGAAATTGAATAATGGTGTCAACTTACGGAAGGCATCATGTCCATCTTCATGTTCTGAATTTGGAAAAAGATTTATTTATCCATTATGCTTCACCGTGTTTGAATTTTACTAGAAAAGTAGACATTAGTCATGGATGAAAGCACTCTTACCAGGTAAGGAAAATGCTTGACCCTTGAGTTTATGCTTGAGAAGAAGCCTCCTAACACTCTCATCAGGGAGAGGTACATATATTCTCTTCACCTGGTTGAATATTTACAGAAATTATGTGTTAATTGCAAATACAAGTCATATTGGGAGTGACAATTTACCCATAAAAGTATTTAAAAATTACAGATAATAAATTAATAACAATAACATTTTGGTGTGTGTGTGTGTATCACTTTTCTTCTCAATTAACATTCCTTTTAATTTTGAACTTGATTTGAAATTTTGGATTAGCAAATAAGGGGTAGTTATGGATTTACTATAATATTATTTTTCCTTATTTTTTGTCTTTTTAAATAAGATTATTGGCCAGAACTTCTATCATTGGAGATTGATACAGCCTTGATGAGTCCTGGAGTACGCCCCCTCTGCCTGGTCAAGTTCAGAGCATTATACTAGTTAATACTTAATATGATTCATTAGAAAAAAGAGTTGCATCTAGTAACTAATTTTCAGTGGCATAAAGGGTTTCTCTATGCTTAGCAGGGGAGAGTTACGCATTAAGACTTGTCATGGAAGGTCCTTACCCACAAAGATGGTTGAATCACCTTGAAAAAGGGAGGGGGATCCAAGACTGGAAGGAGCCTAACTGTAAGAGAGCATTTTGCTCTGGTGAACAGAGTGAGAAGTCGAAAGGACAGGGAGAGACAGAGGAAGACAATGGGGGAATTCCTGGTAATTTTAGGAAAAATTAAAGAGAATATTTCGAGGGGCCATAATGAAGGTGGTGGATGGCAGAATCTGAAAAATCAAAAACAGGATGGGACCCAGTTGAAGATGGTTAAAATAAACCAAAATAAAGGATCAGTTAATTCAGAAGTAAAGTCTATAAGGAGATAGGGGAGGCGAGACACACCAATGGCTTTAAAGAAAAAATGTTAGTGGAATTTTGCTGATAAAAAAAATGTTAGTGGAATATGAAAATCCAATTTGAAGGCTAGACCCATTGGAGATTTAGGTGAGATCCAGGCCTTGAATGTCAAGTGTATTGATAAGGGGAAGGCCAATCAGATTAGGAAGGTTGAGAAGGTACACAAGAAAATGTTTGGGTCTTATTATGCCAAGATTTAAAAGAAGCAGGGCTTCAGGAAGGAGTGGCTTGACTGAGAAAAAGGGGGAAAGGTGGGTTTGGGTGATTGCCGAGTTTGATAAAAATGGAAATAAGAGGATAGTTGGTCAAACAGGGGTGGAGAATGTTAGGCACCAGTCTTCTTCTTCAGATGGAGGTACGGACTTTTTCTCTCAGGCTGAAGGAAATACAGCGGTGGTTTGTGTTTTGTGTGAACCTGAGGTTGTGGATGCGGCATTTCAAGAATCCAGGCACAGTTTGGGATCAGCAAAACTGGTGGTATCTAAAGAGATCACCTCAGTCAAGCATGAGTGATTGATAGAGGGGGATGAGGAAGTTTGGGAGGGAGGTGCTGAAGTCACTGAAGAAATTGAGGACGGAGAAAGGATGGGAGAAATAGGGGAGACAGTCTCTGACAGCAAAGTTGGTGACTTCTGTTTTGATGAGGTGTAGGTTGGAAGATTGGGTGTTGATTTGGGTCGAAGGGGCAAGACTGAATAGAAGGAGTCACTTAATGAAGAGATTTGCAAGAAACCGTGCGGCATAAAGAATCCCAATGTAGTGCATGTAATGAAAACTTGGTCTAGTGGGGGTAGGACTCCTAGAGCCGATTCTAGGGGGGTGACAATGAAGGATAAACCTTTGGACTCCCACCTGGGGAAGGAGATTCAAGACAACAAGGAGAGCAGTGTTGGCCATGATTCTGGGACAATTCTGAAGGTGCAAAGTAATGAGATTAAGGATAATGTCTCGGGACGCATGACTCTTCAGAAGTTAGTAGACAGAGAGATAACGATTGGTAAGAGTTTGGGTTTTTTTTTGGAGCAGTGAGGAGTTTGCTAGGAGGGCCTTTGAGGAGTTTGAGAGGAAAAAAAGGGAAGAAAAGCTGAATAAAAAAAGCATTGGGGAGAGGAGAAGAGGCTTAGAACAAGGATTGTTCAAACCAGGAGAATGTGGGTGAAGACTAAGCCCCTGTGCTAGGTTTTTCAAGACTTTTTTGTTCTTTGCTTGAGTCTGTTTGTCAAGTCTATGGTTTGTAAGTGGTGTGGTTATTTATTTGGTCTTGTTAAAGGTCTTGTTGTCTAAGCTAAGAGAAAAGCCATATTGATACTAACCAATCTCCGAAGAACTGCATCATCCAATTCTTGCGGCTTATTAGTTGCACCTGGATTAACATAACATATTTACAAATAACCTCAAATAAGTTTCCTTTCATGTAAAATGGGATTATTCATGGCAATGAGCATAAATAAAAATAATGCAAGTCAACAACTAAAGAACAAGGTTCAAATCCAAGACAAGTGATGAAAAGCAAATATACACTATACTCGAAGAGGTAATTTACATAAGAGCCGTAAAACTAAAGCATGCAGAATATCGTAGGTAGGGGCTTTCAACTTGCCAATCAAGTTGCTATTTGTTGTCCCTGGATATCTAATACTTACATTATCCCTTTTGTTTCTTCCACCAAGTAGATTCAAGGGGTCAAGATTAAATTATACAAGGATGTTTAGTGGGATTGGATAAATTATCTGTTGATTTTATTGGTATGTTTGAAAAGATAATGGAGGTTTAAATCTAGTTAATAAAAACCCAAGTTCTAGTTACACTCCCAATGTTTATGTTGGTACATCTGTGAGGTTTTGAGAGGATACATGGCTGGGGGACTCTCTACTGAAAGATTGTTTCCCTTATCTGCTTCAAATGGGGAGATAGTTCCTAAGTTTGTGGTCCCTTCTTCTGAGACTAGTTCCAATTGGGATTTAGGTTTAGAAAGGGGTATTCATGATTCAAAACTTCCTTCTGTCACTATTCTTGCTGCAATTGTTAGACTCAGTGTTTGGATCTTTCTAGCCCTGATAATAGGATTTGATCCTTAACCCTCTCCGGGTTCTTTCTCTTGTGCCTCCTTTAGGGTGTTGAGCTCTCCTTCCATTCTAGTGCAACCTTTTCCTGTTAAAGAAATTTGGTGTGACCCAATTTCTCCCAAGGTTGGGTGTTTTTGTTGGGAGATGTTTCATGGTGAGATTAAAACCTTTTTTTTTATGAATAAGATGAGATTAAAACTTTCAATACTCTCCAAAAAAGAAGGCCTTCTTGGTGCTTGTCCCTGGACTGGTGTGTTCTCTGCAAGGATGGCAATGAGACTTCTTCCCATTTACTAATCTTCTGCTCATTTGCTACTACTGTTTCAGATCTTTTCCTTATTTGGGTGCAGGTGGGATGTCCCAACCAACATGGCTGGACTCTTTTCCCCTTCAACTTTCAGATGGCCAAATAAAAGAGGAAAGGTGATATGGAGAACAACAAGGGCAGCAATAGTTTGGACAATTTGGGGACAAGATTGATTGAATTGGGGGGAGAAGCAAGACAGGGGGAAGGGGAGGAAGTTCAGGATTCTCAGTTGGAACAGTAGCAGTCTCTGAGGGTCGAGGGCTGAGGAAGGTGGAATGGACGAGGGCAGGTTCAGAGTAGTAGGAAGGTGGAGGTCTGAGGTGTCGATCGAAGCCAAGACTTTCAAGTTCGAAGAAGAAAGGATCAAAGGTGAGGATGTTTTGAAAATCAGAGAGAATAACAGGGCGACTGTGTTGGTGTCAAAGGAGGTCTTAGTCTGGTTGAAAGGTTTCATAGATGGGGCTATCAACTCTGGTAAGGTGATTGGATGGACAAATTCTTTGGCTGTACCAGGTAAGAAATATGTAACAGAATTGAAAAGAAACAGAAAGGGTTGGTTTATCTCTGTGGTGGAGTTTTTTGAACAAAGGGAAAGCAACTACTGTGTGTGCCAGAAGGGAGGCTACGGAAAGGGTGGATGGATTTTGTGAAGGTGCTACAGTCTTTTCTTGTAGCCTTGGAAGTGAAGAGAGCARAGGGGGTGAAGAGAACTGGTCAAATTTCCAAAGACCAGGGTAAAAAAGCTCAGGAAGGGGCAGTTTCGTTTAGTTCCTCTGGGCGCGTAGAAGTGCAAGGCAATCCGACTGAAGTGGTGGTTGCTTGCGCGTCTAGTCCTCGAAGATTATTGGTAGGAGCAGGGAAGGATGAGTGGAAGAAAAGAAGAGTTTTAGTGGCCGATAGAGGAGTGACAGACTGGAGAAGGGTTCTGTGTACAGTGGCAGGGGAGTTAGGATCTGGGAGTGAAGCTTTGTTGTACCCTTTTGCAGAGACGAAAGCTGTGCTTGATGTAGGCGACCAGGAGCTAAGTTTTAAAGCAGTAGTGGTGGATGGAGTTCTGATACAGGTTCAGA